ACTGCTTAAACAGTGTAGAGCTTTATACAAGATCTTGAGGTGATTTGTTGAAACTTTGGGCGCATATGAAATGTCATGCGGGACGAAGTTGTAACTGCGGTGAAGTCAATCCACAAAACTGCGTTCAAGGCCATTTTTTTAAAGTTGAAAAAGTGAAAGTCTTATCGCATTCCGCCTCGTAATGTTGCGACCGATGTGATCCCCTTGGAGCAAAGTCAAGACAGCTAGAAAATAGTCAGGAAAATCTGGAAATGTCTAGCTGATTAGAATTAGATTCGTATTATACGAAGTAGGTTTGTCAACTCTTGAATGTGTTCCTCCTCTTCGTGCAGGAGGACATTGTTAGGCTGAAGCGCTGCATCTATGCAGCACAGCGTAACAACCTCCCACCTATTTGTACACACAACGTCGTGCAGGACAACATTGATCTGGTTCTCTGCAATCTTCGTCGCTGCCGTCTCTTCAACAACCGATACGACCGTGTCAAGGTGAGTTTAAGAACCTAGAGCCCACCTCCACCCTGTAAATCTTCGTTTAAATGTCGATATCGTTCTTGCTATGGCTGAGTTGATGAGGTCTATGGATCTGTTTGTCAGGGCTAGTTAATTTATTGCAAGTGTTTACTTAATGCTTTCGCCTCTAAACTCTACAAAGTCATGGTTTCTCATTACTGCGTTTCATTGTTATTTTCATGACTTATTTTTTTGCTAATGTATCTTTGAAGAAGCTTACCTTTCATCCGATACAGCTATACTGGCTGTGTCCACGAAACTTCTGATTGTCACACCTAGGTAAAGCACGTCAAGTACCTTTGCGTCTAGAATTATCTGGATATAGAGCTGGATGATTATTTGAGGGAAGAATAAGGAATCAAAGCTTACATAGTAAAAAAAATTATGATCGATGACCAAATTTCACAATGGGCCTTTCCTAGCACCATCGTAAGCAAGGATAGCGTAACTTTCCATCTCACGAAGCCATCTTATCATGCCTGGATTACTTCTCCTGTTGGATCTTATGCCAGGAAATTAAACTAGAATATTCGTACTCGTTAATTTTTTCCCCAGTAGGTTTTTATGCACTCACTACGACAGTATTTTGTTGCTGCCCTAAACGAAGGGTAACTGGGGGGCACCCCTTAACCACATCCTATTTACTTGTTAAAATTATGCAATAAGTAGCTGTTTCTAACATTCTTTCAATCACAAGTATTCATTTG